TGCAGGCGTGTATATAGTTTCCTGTGATTTTGCCCAATATATATTTTATTTGGTCAAGATTGTGAAACGTTTTATTACCCTGGGAAATTGAAGTGTAAAACTTACATAGTTTGATCAGAAGCCATCGCTGTCGCCACAAAAAGCGTCAAATTATGGAATTAGCAAATCCAACCATGTGCATGTTCATACAGCAACTCCTACATGCTGATACAGGTACAAAGTAGCTGATATTTTCAAGAGCAGCTTGATTTATATAGTACACTACAGTATTTCTATGCTTTCATATCCATTACATCATTGACTTAAAACTACCCTGTGTAGAGTGTATCATCTGTGGTTTACAGGTAAGCTAAAGCTGAGAATTAGAGCGGTAACATAGCTGGGAAGCATCAGAGCCAACAGCAGAATGTCTCTCCCAATACACTTACAGTGAATCTTCCAGTCTTGTTAGAGCAGGCATAAAGCCGAGGTGGGTGATCTTCAGCCTTGGTTTCTAACAGTGGAGAAGTCTGGTAGTCTTTCTTCCCTCCAAGGGAATTCCAAAACTCCTCTGTGGAAAACACACTGAGTTATCTGATGCGTTTCAGAGGCACATGGTTGGTATTGCTCTACAATAACAAATATTATCTTATCCTGATTTTAATATTAGGAAATTACTTAAATACAGCAGGTACCATCACTCGCTTTTGTAACTAATGGAAGGATTCTTAACTCTCTATAATCTTTACAAGGTGATTATTTATAAAAAAATAAATTACATGATTAGCAATCATAGCAAATATAAGTCCTAGTTAGTGACTTTGGCCCCACAGTACACACCTGGTTCCTCTCCTTCCTGAATTCTTGCAGTTTTGCACTTGAGCACATTTGCCACGTATGTAGCTCCTTTCTCCTCCTCCTGGCTAGCACCTTTTCCTATCCAGATGTAGCCATTGTTTTGTTGAAGTTTCAGGACAAAAACATCGTTAGAATTTAACGAATTCGCATCAACATCTACCTAGAGTATGAAGAAAAATAACACAATGATTTAAATTCATTGCTGCCCCCAACAAACGTATCTAAGAAGTCTGTGACAGTGAAAACCCATCCATAGCCTTCTGTCCTGATCCGAGGAAATTAATTTCGGGTGGCACTGGGACACCACTGCGACGTTAAAAACATTAGAGGAGGAGCACTTTGCTCTGTGTCGCTTTAATGCTGAACTGCCCGCAGACAGTAGCACAAGGCTCTAAGAATAAAGTTAGCCAGATTTAAATGGTAAGTAACAATGATCATAGTCAAAGAGACCATACAAACAAGGATAGGTTATAATTAAAAAATAAATAAAAAGGGAATAATATTCACAAATGTCATAAAGCAAAGGTATTCATTTTTCTCTCCCTGGCTTAAGAGACCATTTATCAAATAATTGAAGGCACACCTAAAAATCACAAAACAGGGGACTGGAGTCCAATGCAGGAAAAGAGATAATAATGAGGTTCACTAAAAGGTTCTCCAGGTTTAGATAAATTATAGCTCAAATTATGAAAGATTGTTTATTTGGGATAAAAACATAGCACTGACAAGTCCCCTTTTTTTTCAACCAGACGCTGTGGACACTGTCTAAGATTGGCCAGGAGAACAGTTTGGCTCCATGAGGACACAGAGGACTGAAAGGGACCCAGGTGGGTCCATGCTCTGGCTGGAGAGTGAGGCTAAAGGTGGAAGCTCTGGGCAGAGACCAGCACGTGCAGAGTCTCAGGCTTGGCAGTGAGCCTGAGCATGTGAGATGGGCTCGTGTCTGACTGAATCTATGACCTTGCGATTTTGTGACTGTGTCAGTCTCTGTGAGAATGTCAGTCTGACTCTGTGACTGTGAAAGTATATGCATGACTTTCTTCATGACTGTGGGACTCAATGTGATGTGTGCCATGAGAGAGGAAGAAAACAAGAGTGTGGCGTTGAGGCCAAGAAAGTATTTCAAGAAGCAGCTGGTGATCAGCTGTGCCAAGTGATGCTGTTTGGCCAACTGCGTTGAGCTGCTAAATGAAGACATCAACTTTGAGAGAGCTGAATCTCACCAGGCTTGACAGGACTCTGTCCCCAGAGGGAGCACTACAGGAAGAAGAAATGGCTGTTGGAAGTTTTAAAGACATTCCAGGGGGTGGTAATATTCAGCATGTGGCTATTGTCCTCATTCAGTAGGAACGAGGCCCCCTGGACCAAGTTCAAATAAATTAGATGGGATGGAAAGTTACAGAAATCATGACTTCAAATTTCTAATCCAAATGTCTTCTTATTGATAGAGAAAAGAGCTTGGCTGATAGAGAGATGGGTGACGAGAGGCCCATGACCAGATTGGTATGGGATCAGGGAGGTAGTTCTAAAACAGAGAATTATAAATCTTTAGCATGCCGGGGGATGAAAACAGAAAGCCCTAAAAACAATGATTTTGATTAGTGCATTTCAGAGAGGCTAGGAATGTGAAGGCCAGTTTGAGAAACACAAGGAAATAAAGGAGCTGCATTACAAGCAGTCTACCACGTCTCATAAAAAAGTGTGCACTGGGAAGAGAATAGGAATGTAATGATTCTCATTGGCTCTTTCCTTTGAAATCAACTGAGATGCCCATAGATAAGAGTTAAACTGTCTTTTAATTTGATAGATTAAAAAAAATTAGTCATAATTGAACACATGAGAATCCATGCATAGAATATTCTGGATGGCATTTAAACTACAGGACTGAACGAGATCACTGTGAACAATGCCAAGACTGATCCTTGGAGCACTCAAATGCTTAGAGGATAAGGAGAGGAGGAGAATCCAGAAAAACTGCCTCTAGAAGGGTGGCCCTGAGGTTTGGAAGAAATCCTGGTAAATGCGGCATTTCAGAAGCCTGGTTTTTCAAAAAGACAGGAGAGGATGTCTGAGGAAATGTAAGTGTGATATTATGTAAAGTGAGACCAGAGAAATGCGGAAGGCAGGAAATTGGAAAACTAAATAAAAACCATTTTGGTGGAATGGTGGGAATAGATAGATGCCTGAGTGAAATGGGTTTTGAGAGAATAGGCTTAAAAAAGAGATGGTGAATAAGTGAAGACAACTGTTTGAGGATTTGTGGATTTAAGGAGGGCAGGTAAAGGATGTCGCTGGGAGGGTCAGGGTCAAAAGAGAGTTTTTAAAGAAAGGATGGCGGTTCCTTTAAGGCATGTTTGTATTCTGAAGGAAATGATACAAGACAGAAGAAGAAACTGATGTTACAGTAGAGAAAGAAGATCATTGCCCACAACAATGATGAACCGGAAATGGGATGAGAAATCAGGACAGAGCGAAATCCAGGAAATTCTTTAGAAAGCCCAGAGGGCAGGGGATTCCAGACAGAAATTGGCAGTGGGTAGAGGTTGGAGGAATCTAGCCTTAAATAGGAGTCGCATTTTATTTATGTAATAAATATGTATTATTTACCGACATATACTTTATACAAACATCATGATTTATTTTTAATTTATGTGTGAGAATAGGTTGATACTGATTTCTAAAGTAGTTTAGCATTTGTATGTAAATAACTATTGTAAAACATTTATTAATTGTTAAATATAAATAAATTAACAATTTAAATTTATTTAAAACAGTCAGGAAGGAGAATATTTATGTACAGATGCAGACAAGTTGGTGAATTGGAGGGGAGGAGATCAGAGAAGGTAATTCTCATGTGATCACATGTATGTTCTCTGTGAACTCTGATTCAGTCATCAGTAGAGAGCAGGGATGTTGGAGATTTGGAGAGAGAGGAGAACCTGAAGGGTGTGATAGATGGAGAGGGTTCATGGATTCAAGTATGAGACTGGAGAATTGCTGAAAAAAGCATCCTGGAGTAAAGGAGCTAGGACAGGAGATGGCTGTCAGAGATTAGATGTCTGAAACAGATGTCTGAGGTGCTACATTTATTGCCAATGGTAAGGTTTATTATAGACCCATGTGAGTGTGAGATGAAATGGGGTCAAGGACAAGATGGTTGGATAAGAGAAGCTAGAGTGATGAAGATAGTAAAGCAAAGGCTGAAGCCACCAAAGACTAAGAGAGGAAGGACTGGCAGCTAAGTAGATGCAGGGGGCTGGGGGAGGGACAGTCTGATTAGGAGAGACGTCAAAGAGGCAAGGGTGATCAGGGAGGGTACCCCGGCCACTCCATCACTGGCCACTGGGTACTGGGGAAAAACAATTTCTACTTGAGATAGCTTTATGGGAATCAGTGTCCTCAGAAAACAGTAGAGCATGAAGGAGGAGGTGGCTTAGAAAACAGGTTGTAGATGGAGAGATGTATGACCAACCTGGTTTTCAGGGCTCAGCTGAATAGCTTGTGTGGAAAGGAAAGATTGGCAAATGGGTCCATGTTTGAGGATATACAGAGTGTACAGGGTAGTTTAGGTTGATTTAGGAGACTTAGATTTCAGTAGTGACTAAGGTGACTGGGATATGAGGTGTGACAGATCATTTCATTCTAGAGGTAAAAGCACTCAGCCATTTAAACACCTGCACCTACTGGCCTTGCCCATACCTGGAGGTCTTCTTGTCTTATGACACTGTGATATGGGGTTTGATTTCTTTCAGAGCTACTGTCAGACAGCTTATTTGACCAGTTGAGTTATGGTTCTGGCCCAATGCAGTGAAGCGTCCTTCTCATATTCATTACACTTGTATAGACAAGGGCCTTCCCTCTCAAATTTCCCCAGCGTAGTCAACTGATCGTCACCACCATCCATCTTCCCCTAGGCCTTCCAAGATAGAGCGTAAGCCGCCTCATGGCTTTGACAGCTTGATTTGTTACATTATTCTTAAAATTCATTTGTTTTGGTATAATAAGGTTGAAAAATGTGAGAGACCTGGTATCTGGAACTAACTTTTTACTTAATTCTCCTGCTTTTATTATTTTTTTATTCTTTTATTTTTATTTTTTTATTGTGAACACTGGATTAATTATAGAACTGAAGGCAGCTTGTTTGCCAATTTTTTAAAGACTAATACTTGATGGCTCAGGTTATTTTATTGAATGCATGACATACCTCCACGATTCTAGTGATAGATGCCAGGTTTCTTCGGACTTGAAAGAGGCGTGTAGGGGGAGCAGGTACCTGACCTCCTTTCTTTGATGTTCCATTCTTGTAAATAATGAGCGGTTTGTCTTTGAACAAACTCAGCAGATGTGCAGGTTCTTTTCCCTGGGAGACTCGGATCTAAGGGGCAGGGTAATAAAAGAAAGAAAATAAAGGGTGCCATGAATGAAGGCTGTATTTGCAAATGTGTTTTCATTTTTCTTTTTGAAAACCAAACAAAAAATAAACCACGAGTCAAGAGCAGGAAGAAAAACATTGAACAGAAAATGTAGGTTAATGATAATCAAGCACAGTTTTCTCATTGACATAAGAATCGCTTGTTACTCCAGACCCAGAGTTACCAATCGCTTTCTCTCAGGCAAAACAGTGTCATTCTGCACCACTTTCTGCTTCCAGAAAGCATAGAGATGGAGTCTGTACATCTACATCTCCAAAAGGGAGCAAGCAAGGTGCTGATGTAGGCCATCTTTTATGAAGAATCTTTTTTTTTTTTCAATACCACCAACACTTTACAGATATTTAGGGCTATACTTATTTCTCACGTGTTTGTATCTTGTTTCAAAAATTAAGAGACGCTCCTTCAGGTGCCTCCACAAAAAAAGACAATGCAAAAGCATACTTATTACTTCCACATCCCTACGACTGAGATGAAAAATTGTAAATTCATCTAGGGATGGATAGATTTCTATCTAAACATCGAAAACTGGCAAAAATAAAATAAACTTTATACTTTTTAACTTAATTTTAGAAATGTTAATAATAGATTTGCTTAACATAAGCACTTTAAAAAATACATTACAAAGGCTTTTCAGAATAAGGAAATTGAAGAAAATAAATGGTAAATTATTTAATTTCGCCTATTAGCTTAATACCAGATATTGGATTAGAAATGAATTTCTTATTTCTTGCATAAGTTATTGATGCATTTTTTTTTACATAAGGTGTTCAAATATTGTTCCAGTTCTCTATTGTTTTCAATTATTCTGTCCTATGCTAAAATTGAACGGTCTCATCTACTCTGGTGTGTCTTGTTAAGGAAGCCAAATGAATGGGAATGTTGATGCATATATCATTGTGGGGAGGACTAAGGGAGCATTGAAAATAATTTTGCAGATCTTTCAATTAGTAAACATTCAAATAAGCAAGTAGCAAATTATAAAAATGTCTTTTGAGTGACAGTCCCAAAGCCGGGGCTGAGGTTAGCTAGGAGTACATAAAAGTTTTGTTGGCTTGGCATTTCCCATAAAATTGAGAAAACTTCAATTGCTAACTGAAAAGGGGCCACTGATTAAGACCCACTCTACCTGTGAAATGAGAATGAGAGAGAATTGAAGAATTTTCAGTACTGTTAATATACTCACAAAAGGATGTTTAAAACAGCAATCAAGGACTTGTTATTTATGCATTATTATAAACTACTGCCATCTAGTGATAAAACTAAACATGACCATTTCATTGTCAATTTAGGATTCAACTGTTTAACAATGGAAATTCATCCACTGGGTATCTCAATATTTTACTATGAAACATGGAATTTATAAGGCATAATAAATATCTTAAAAGTTTTTATATAATTTGGTAAGGAAAGTTAAAGATCAATTAAATGGCATAGATGATGTCAGTTCTTAGCTAGAATTGTTTAATTCAGGAAATGAATATAATACTTCATTGTGAAATAGAGTTCAGTACATTTTAAAAATTCAATTTTAATAATTTGTTAATTAACAATTGATATAATTTTTTTAAAGATAATATTTACCTTTAAATCTAAATCTAAATTGCTTTATAGTATATCTATTAACAAGTAACAAGATGGAAAAGAAACCAGCTGGGAGACCAAATCCAGCCTCCACATTTTAGGTTTTATGTACTAAAGTACTTGATCACCTATTTATTTAATTATCACCTTTGAAGAAGCAATTACACATTTATAGATTTACAAACAAAACAAAAAACTATACACCACGTAGAATCTTGGTTTACTTGGCATCAGGAATGAGGAAGTTAAGATAAATTCCTGTGAAGGGAACACTTAATGCTGCTGTGTCAGAAGTGTCACCACACTGGCCGAAAGAGCACCTGCTTTCAGTCTGAACCCCCATCTGGAGGATGCTTTCCCCAACAGATGGGAACAGACTGCCTTCCCCCAACCAGCTAGAGAAAACAAAGAGGCAAGTAAAAAATGCCCAGGCAGTAAGAGCTGCTCCAGCTAGGAAATGAAGGAGAAAGAGAGGGAGAGAAACACTAGGGAGATCTTTCTGTAAAGCCCGGGGACAAGCCAGTGCCATTCCTGGGGTTAAAAGAGGAGGAGACAGACACACTGGAGTACACTGAAGGGAAACAAAGTCTCCTTGAAGTCTGCATTTAACATTACATGTTAAGAAATTACAACGAGCAAAGACCAAGAATTTCCTGTGGTTACTAATAAAGGTCCTGAAATGGATATTCCACCAAAATATAAGAAGAGGAGTAGCTGAGCTTGAGAAAAGAGGAAGGAAGGTCAAATCAGGCTGAAAATGGTTCCTTTGACACAATGAGGAGAGCCAGAACTAGACACTGATATTGGAGTCCCATTGTATGACATTCCAACTATATAATAAATCAAACATTATTTCTCTCTCACTTCCTTTCTCTATCTCTATTTGTCTCTATATATCTATGTTAATATCTGTATATCTATATTTATACTACACACACACGCCAAAAGGTTAACTCATCTATATATCTATATGTATATATGTACTCTCTCTCTCTACATATACACACACACACACACACACACCCAAAAGGTTAACTCATTTATATAAAACCATCATCTAGAATTTGTCTTCAGTAATTCTCAACACATTTTTATTTTCAGAAATACCTAAAGAATCCATCTCTCTCCTCCCTTCACACCATTCTCTCCTTTCTCTTCTCTTCTCTCATTTCCTCCTACATTTCCCTCCCTCTTTTCCCTCCCCTGCCCTCCCATCCCTTTTCTTTCCTTTCTCCCCCTTCTCTCCCCTCCCCTCCTCTTTCTCTTCCTCTTTTTCCCTCTCCTCCATCATCCCCCCTCAGCCAAGATTCTACAACCTCTTATCAAGGTTTATTTCAGTTTGCCTGTGCAAAATATAACTTACATATGTTTATGATTTGGGAGTGTGTAAAACATCTTTTTTTTTTACTATTAATTAGAATTATTAATTTGTGCTTGTTCTATACTGATGCATTTAATTCCTATTGCTGCTGTAACAAATTACCACAGTTTTACTGTAAACAAGCACAGATTTGTCTTATAGTTCTGGAGTTTGGAAGTACTCAACGAGTATCACTGAACTAAAATCACGGTGTCGCAGAGCTACATTCTTTTTTGGAGGCTCTAGGGGCAAATACATTTGTCTTTTTCAGCTTCTAGAGGCTGCCCATAGTACTTGGCTGGGGTGGGAGCTTCTTTAAAGCTGGTTGAATCTCTCTCATGCTGCCTCCCTGTTTCACTTACAAGGATCCTTGTGATTATACTTGATCTTCCTAGTAATCCTGGATACTCTTTCTATTTTAAGAAATGCTGGTGACCAACCTTACTTCTACCACCATTCTTAATTCCTCTATGTCTAGTAATATATTTTCACAGGTCCTGAGGATTAGGATGCTGACATCTTTGCAGGAATGAAGATGGGGGAATAATTCTGCCTTTATCACATCCGTTTAACAATAGCTGGAAGTGGTAACTCAGAACGATTTTAATGTCAAGTGACTGTCATTGACATATGTGATTTTAAAGGAAAATTCTGCTGGGCTCTTAAATCTATTAACAGTTTATTTTGTGTTTTGTTGTTTTTATTTTGTTTGTTTCCTCTTTCCTGAAGCCTGAGAGAACTAGTATGGCATGAGAATAGGATTACTTGAATTCCAAAACGAAAAAATAGGTGCATCTAGAAAATGCCAAATTCCCATTCCAATTTGGGAGGAGGGCTTTCACTAGACATTGGGCTAGTAAAACTTTAATGTCTATGAGTTGTGGGAGTAAAAATATTCCCACCTGCACAGCCTGTCCTCCAAGGGACCTGTCCAACTGAACGGTCAGGAATGCAGATGTCGTCAGCTCATCTCTCGTGGCATTCGCTCCTTGCCTGGAGGAACAAACATAAAATAATTAGCCTGTATTTAAGTTTTAAGACCTTCTAATGTAGATATTTCAAGCAGAAACTTAAGTTACTATAAAAGATCAAGAAGGAACCACCTGTTTTAACATGATATGGCTGTAGAAGCTATCGTTTTTTGCAAGTACTAATGTTAAGCCATGAATTGTCCTGTATATTGTCTAGAACTATATGTGGTGGGTATCTTTATCTCTATTTTATAGGTAAAGAAATTGAGGCTTAGCTCCTTACTTAACTTAAATAAGGAATCAGTTCTGTCTGACTTTAGGTTGGAGCTGCCAATTTTGGGAAACCATACCCATAATGAAAATAATCCATTTGATTAGGAGAATCTGAGCCAAATCTTCTAGGCTGGATATCAGAGGCACTTGATCGTTCAATGAATATTTGGTGAGCATACTACCAAATGCCTGAGCCCAGAAAAATCAACAAAATAATCATCAGAAGTAGGCAATGGAGAGGCCCCATTTTGTCATTCTACCATTTCTTGAAAGGAATTATTAATAAAACTATAAGAGTGGCTAAACTACCAGCGACCCAGACAAGGGTCAATCAATCAATTTGTCCGGTTCATTTGCAACTTCTCCTTCTAGGGTAGCATGTAGCTATAACTCCAATCATTAGCTTAACCTGTAAAGCAATTTTGGGGAGATCTGCCTGTTTGATGAATTTGTGTGTGGGGGTAGAATAGAGAGGTGATGGTTGGGGTAACCAGCAAAGCATTAAGAATTGTTTGTCTCCAGCCAACTTTCCTCTCCCACCTCTGACAAGCAGTTAGCAAGAGAAATACTAATCCCAGAAATGGATTGTGAAAGTTGACCATATATTTTCTTGTGAAACCTTGGAAGTGACCTGTTCCATACCCAGAACAAATGAACGATAATCTCCTACCCTGGGCACCACACACACATCAAAACATTGAGTACTGGGAACATGTCTTATTATCTCAGAATATTTCATTGTACCAATAGTCAAATGATTGATATAAAAATGTTCCGCAGAGGAGCGAAAAGAGAAAAAAAAAAGCTCATGCTCATGTCAGTCACATTAAAATAAAATAAAAAATGCTTTCCCTAATAAAGACACCCATGAATACTAATAATCAAAATTTTTCATGAGCCTATAATGTTAACACACACTTCTGTGAACCCATAGGAGCACAGGATGGGAAGTAACAGGATAACAACAGGACCTGTTACCACTTGTCATTCCTTCATCATATCTGCAGCTTCTTGGCTATTTCTCCATTTTGCTTTTTTTTCTACAGGAAGTAAAATCAACCAATAGACAATATCACCAAATTTTTGTCTCCATTTTATTCCTCCCCCAAATATTTCAACCAGCAAATGTGAAAAACTTGACCAAACTTTTGCCTTCTGACACTCTTAAGAAATACTTCACTACTTATCTCGAGCCCATCTTCTTCCTGTCAACATGACCATGCTCCCATCCAGACAGATTCAAACCAATTTGATTTATGGATGTATGACCCAGGGGGTCAAGTACTCCACTACAATCAAGACATAATAAAGCTGCTCTTTGCCTCTAATTTTGAAATCGTATGCTTAGGGGGTATAAAAAGCAATCTTCAACATGATTTCTTTACAAACCTGTAGTACTCATTGCTTATTAAACATAAATACTACATGAAAATGAATTTACTGCTTCAAGAGGTTCTTCATTTCTATTGTTCAATTTCCATTACCTGACATTTCGGGGAAAAAGGATCACTACTGAAATTATTTCCCTCCTATCATTCTAGAATACAAGTAGTTTTAGGAATAAGAAGACAAGTTTGGGTATTCAGAAGCTGATTTAATTCTAATCTTTCACCTTTAACTCTGCCTCCTGGACTTAACTCATTTATATCCTTGCATCGAAACTATCACAAAAACCAGAAACTTGTTTAATTTGAAAGCCATTTTTTAAGAGATCTGCTTATTTTCTAAATGCGTCTTCGCTACCTTTATGGAAGCTTTGGAAGGTCCACAAACCATACATTAACAAAGGCAAGTATTCAACATTTGTGATATTGTAACCACACACAGATTTCACTTCTTTAAGATAGCTTTTTCTCTGATTCAAGCAGGCTCTGTGGCACTGTGACTCACTTGCTTTTTTCCACTCTTATTCTTCCGCCTTTGTATGTCTATTCTCTTAATCATTAAACCTTAGGACAGAGGTTCCAGCCAGTGACAAACCTTTTAAGAATAAAGCCTCGGGTCTATCGATCATGACAACAAGGATAAACTAAGGATAACATCTTGGCTTCAGATATGTTTCGGCCCCAGACCCATTGCAGCAAAACAGCCCCACTGACCACTTTCCCACCGGACCAGATGTGATGACACCATGGCTGATTCCAGAACTAGACATGATGATGAATTACTCCAGTACCATCCAATCAGTACTGCCCACAAACCCACTCCCTTTGTTTCCATGACTAATGATTTTGCCCTATATAATATATACTCTCGAGACACCTGGGGCAGGTCTTTGAGCAGTAGCTCACCTGTATCTCCAGAACTTGCAACTCTCTGAAGTAAACCTTTAGTTTTTGTTTGTTTGTTTTTGTTTGCTTGTTTTTGCTGTAAAATCTGTACATGTCTCTTTTGATAAATTAGATGCGTGCAGGCAAATGGAACTCTTTGCTCCGGTAACAATATTAAGTGGCAAAGACTCATAAAAGGACTCTTGGTATCTAAACTATATTCTTGACATCACAAAAATTCATAATTCTCATCATAGAAACATTGAACACACCAAATTGAAAAAAAAAAAAAGAAAAACTAAATGACCTCCTCCCCCATCCTCAGTCTTATCCTCAAAATAGTAACTATTAACAAATGCAGTATAATCTTATTATCTTCTTTTCCTCTTTCAATTTTTCTGAGAGTTGGGGAATGAGCGGGGGGGCAAACTTATCCTCCTCCCAAGTTTCTTATTTCAGTGAATGAAACACTGTCCACTTGTGCACAGACTAGAAATCTGGGGAATCATTCTTTGCTTGGTCATTTTATTCTCTTCCCTGTAACCAGTCTTTCAGATGCCAACTCCATAATACCTTGCAAACTTGCCTCGTCCTTTCTCTCCCTATCACTGTTACACTGAATTCTAGCCTGATATTACAACAAATTTCTAGTGACCTCCCTGCCACCAATCTTCTCCCACCAGTCTGTTCTTTAGATGTCAATCAGAATAATTATGCTAAGATAAAAAACGATCATGATCATGTGCAAATTCTTTGGCTCCCAGTGTCCTGAAAATAAAGTTCATCCTCGCAGCATGATTACAAGGCCATTCACAATTTGGCTCCCTCCAATTTCTCTGGTCTAATCTTTTGCTCCCTAACTTTGTTTCAGTCACACATCATTACTAGTAGATTAGCGCCGGGGTCCCCTCCAGGCTGCGGACCAGTACCAGTCCATGGCCTGTTAGGAAATGGGATGTACAGCCAGAGGTAAGTGGCAGGCAAGTAAGCAAAGCTTTATCTGTATTTGCAGCCGCTCTCCAGCGCTAGCATCACCACCTCAGCTCCACCTGAGATCATCAGGCATTAGATTCCCATAGGAGCACCGGTCCCTGGTGCCAAAAAGGTTGGGAATCACTGCTCTAAGAGACATATATAATTAAATATTTTATTTCATACAACAGAGACTTTAAATTGATGCATTCTAATTCTCTGTTCCCATGAAATTCATTGCAAAAATGGAAAAAAAATGCCAGTGTATCCACATCTTATGTGGTTTTACATAATGAATTTGAATTAAAGGTTAAGATTACTTAGAGTCAGTGTCAAGGCACTCACTGTTCAATGGGGACTGTCCAACCAAGTGCCTTAAGTCCACATACCATGCTGGACTATTCCAAAGGAATGGGGGTTTTATAACATATCATGTAATAGGGGATTCTCTAACTTTTTATTAAGTGAAATCAGGTAAAACAGAATATTGCTGAGAAGACTGGGGAAAAGAAGACTTCTCAAAAAAGATCTTAAAACTGAGAGGTGCAGGCGGAAGGTATAAAGGCAAAGTAAAATCTTCCTTTGCCTATGTGATGTTGCAGCCTTCAGTGGGAATGGGGTCAGATCTCTGCTTATATGGTGACATTTGTCTTTGGTGAGTGTCCCAACAGATGACAGAGTCATATCTGTCCCCACAGTGTGACCTTACTATTTATTACTTACACTGATCAGTGCCTTGAGCCCAACCATGTTCAGAAGATGGGATGATTATCTCTGTCCCTTAGTCTCTTGCTACCCAAAGTGTGGTCTGGTAACCAGAGACATCAGCGTGATCTAGGAACTACTTAGAAATGTAGAATCTCAGTCCCCACCTCTGACCCACTAAAGCAGAACCTGCATTTTAACAAGATCCCCAGCTGTTTCATATGCACTTTAATGATTGACAGGTACTGCCTTAGGCAATGTTTCTAAACACTAGCTGCACGTAATAACCTGGGCAATTTTCACTAATTCAAATGCCTGGTCCCCGTACCAAAGAGATCTGACTCAGCGTGGTGGGACTGCTGAGATTCTAATGTACACCACGGCATTAATGAGAATCACCATACATTTCTGCCCCACAGCCATACACAGCCATATTATCTCCTGTCATTTTCTCTGATTCAAGCAGGCTCTGTGGCACTGTGACTCACTTGCTTTTTTCCACTCTTATTCTTCCGCCTTTGTATGTCTATTCTCTTAATCATTAAACCTTAGGACAGAGGTTCCAGCCAGTGACAAACCTTTTAAGAATAAAGCCTCGGGTCTATCGATCATGACAACAAGGATAAACTAAGGATAACATCTTGGCTTCAGATATGTTTCGGCCCCAGACCCATTGCAGCAAAACAGCCCCACTGACCACTTTCCCACCGGACCAGATGTGATGACACCATGGCTGATTCCAGAACTAGACATGATGATGAATTACTCCAGTACCATCCAATCAGTACTGCCCACAAACCCACTCCCTTTGTTTCCATGACTAATGATTTTGCCCTATATAATATATACTCTCGAGACACCTGGGGCAGGTCTTTGAGCAGTAGCTCACCTGTATCTCCAGAACTTGCAACTCTCTGAAGTAAACCTTTAGTTTTTGTTTGTTTGTTTTTGTTTGCTTGTTTTTGCTGTAAAATCTGTACATGTCTCTTTTGATAAATTAGATGCGTGCAGGCAAATGGAACTCTTTGCTCCGGTAACAATATTAAGTGGCAAAGACTCATAAAAGGACTCTTGGTATCTAAACTATATTCTTGACATCACAAAAATTCATAATTCTCATCATAGAAACATTGAACACACCAAATTGAAAAAAAAAAAAAGAAAAACTAAATGACCTCCTCCCCCATCCTCAGTCTTATCCTCAAAATAGTAACTATTAACAAATGCAGTATAATCTTATTATCTTCTTTTCCTCTTTCAATTTTTCTGAGAGTTGGGGAATGAGCGGGGGGGCAAACTTATCCTCCTCCCAAGTTTCTTATTTCAGTGAATGAAACACTGTCCACTTGTGCACAGACTAGAAATCTGGGGAATCATTCTTTGCTTGGTCATTTTATTCTCTTCCCTGTAACCAGTCTTTCAGATGCCAACTCCATAATACCTTGCAAACTTGCCTCGTCCTTTCTCTCCCTATCACTGTTACACTGAATTCTAGCCTGATATTACAACAAATTTCTAGTGACCTCCCTGCCACCAATCTTCTCCCACCAGTCTGTTCTTTAGATGTCAATCAGAATAATTATGCTAAGATAAAAAACGATCATGATCATGTGCAAATTCTTTGGCTCCCAGTGTCCTGAAAATAAAGTTCATCCTCGCAGCATGATTACAAGGCCATTCACAATTTGGCTCCCTCCAATTTCTCTGGTCTAATCTTTTGCTCCCTAACTTTGTTTCAGTCACACATCATTACTAGTAGATTAGCGCCGGGGTCCCCTCCAGGCTGCGGACCAGTACCAGTCCATGGCCTGTTAGGAAATGGGATGTACAGCCAGAGGTAAGTGGCAGGCAAGTAAGCAAAGCTTTATCTGTATTTGCAGCCGCTCTCCAGCGCTAGCATCACCACCTCAGCTCCACCTGAGATCATCAGGCATTAGATTCCCATAGGAGCACCGGTCCCTGGTGCCAAAAAGGTTGGGAATCACTGCTCTAAGAGACATATATAATTAAATATTTTATTTCATACAACAGAGACTTTAAATTGATGCATTCTAATTCTCTGTTCCCATGAAATTCATTGCAAAAATGGAAAAAAAATGCCAGTGTATCCACATCTTATGTGGTTTTACATAATGAATTTGAATTAAAGGTTAAGATTACTTAGAGTCAGTGTCAAGGCACTCACTGTTCAATGGGGACTGTCCAACCAAGTGCCTTAAGTCCACATACCATGCTGGACTATTCCAAAGGAATGGGGGTTTTATAACATATCATGTAATAGGGGATTCTCTAACTTTTTATTAAGTGAAATCAGGTAAAACAGAATATTGCTGAGAAGACTGGGGAAAAGAAGACTTCTCAAAAAAGATCTTAAAACTGAGAGGTGCAGGCGGAAGGTATAAAGGCAAAGTAAAATCTTCCTTTGCCTATGTGATGTTGCAGCCTTCAGTGGGAATGGGGTCAGATCTCTGCTTATATGGTGACATTTGTCTTTGGTGAGTGTCCCAACAGATGACAGAGTCATATCTGTCCCCACAGTGTGACCTTACTATTTATTACTTACACTGATCAGTGCCTTGAGCCCAACCATGTTCAGAAGATGGGATGATTATCTCTGTCCCTTAGTCTCTTGCTACCCAAAGTGTGGTCTGGTAACCAGAGACATCAGCGTGATCTAGGAACTACTTAGAAATGTAGAATCTCAGTCCCCACCTCTGACCCACTAAAGCAGAACCTGCATTTTAACAAGATCCCCAGCTGTTTCATATGCACTTTAATGATTGACAGGTACTGCCTTAGGCAATGTTTCTAAACACTAGCTGCACGTAATAACCTGGGCAATTTTCACTAATTCAAATGCCTGGTCCCCGTACCAAAGAGATCTGACTCAGCGTGGTGGGACTGCTGAGATTCTAATGTACACCACGGCATTAATGAGAATCACCATACATTTCTGCCCCACAGCCATACACAGCCATATTATCTCCTGTCAAAGATGAATGTATTTAGTTATTTAGCTCTGTGTTTAAGATGCCACCTCCATAGGAACCTTTTTTTTTTTTTTTTTTTGAGCAGTATATTTGTGCCAACAAAGTGCTGGGTTTGAGAGAGAGAAAGAGAGACAGAGACAGAGAGAGACAGAGAGAGAGACAGAGAGAGAGAGAGAAAGAGATGGGAGATTGTATTAGAGGAGTTTGAGATCAAGACAGTTGATTAGAGAGAGAGAGAGAGAGAGAGAGAGAGAGAGATGGGAGGAATCATACAGATTAAGGAACTGAATCCAAAGGCATAACTGTTATAACTGGTGAAGCAATGTTTCACTCCCTGATCTGCAGGTCTCTAACTCTGAGGCCCCAGTACGGCTTTACCCTACAAGTATGTCCTTATTTTGCAATTTCCTTTTCTAAAATTTTAATTCAGAAAAGTGTATGTACAAAGTATGGCATTTATAGGGACAAATTAATCGTTCCTAGTCAGCTTTTCCTTCGCCTTCTGTGTCTTAATCTTCCTCTTAATTCTTTTTTGTGTATAAAAAATATAACTGATTGTGGCATTTACATATAATGAGAAAGATTAAACAAGCAATTGAAGAGAATGTTTTAAGGAATTAGCAATTGACACTCACATAAATAATTATGTGGATATAACTAAAACAGACTAAATCAGGTTATAAATTTTAAATGTAGAAGGTATTTCTTAAATCATTTGAAAGTATTTATTGAGCACTTTCTATGTGCCAAGCACTATACTAGATACTAATGATATAGTAATGAAGAACAAACAAAAAACAAAAAACACTTGTGATCTTAAAACCTTACACTTTAAAGAGGGGCAGATGATTAACAGGCATTTCGATGAAGTACAAGTAATCTTAAGATAAGACAAAGCTGAGTGATCTTTGGAGAATTATAGATGGATGCCCAAGCTCACTCCCAAGGCCAATAGTGAAGGGTGCCTAGAAGAAGGGACATCTGTGTGGGAACAGAGGTGGGAGCTAGGCAGGCAAGCAAATAAGGATATTGTTCTAAGCAATGCTGGGAAGTGTGCTCTAAGAGGGTTTGCCTCATTGCAGCTTTGCAGCTCTAATCAGGATGGCCATCTTAATTTTCACAATAATAAGACATGATACCTAATGCTAGCCAGTGGAGTGCAGCTTATATAGGTGATGGGACAGACATTCAACCACATATCCATTAGGAGAACCTTACCCTTTTAAATCAAAACCTTCTTCCTAAAGTAGAAAGTTTAGGAAGCTGATGCTGGGGAGCCAGATAATTTTTATCTAACCTCTCCTGCTTATGGACAGTAGCTATAAAATATAGTCAAAATTATATAGAAAGAAACTATTACATTCATGCTGCACAAATCTCACTAGGGCAACTGCAGGAAAATTCTATCCCATATTGCACGGAATTTTAATGGAATTTAACTTTGGAGCAAAATCTGGCTCCTATGGAACTTGAAATCTTATGAAAGAGGAAACTTACCATGTATAGATAATTTGTCCTTTGGGATAAGTGTAGAGTATAATGTAGCAGTCGCCACCATAGAATTCACCATAGGAGTTTTGGTTGATTTCAACCCTACCATTATTTTCTACACGCCAAATCTGAAAGGAATGGAATAAGTGTACCAAAATTAAAATTTTCTTGATCTAATAATAATTCTCAGAAGTTTAAACATATTGGTTTAGATCTATCATTAACTTTTGAATTATTTTTCTAACTAGTTTACAAATCAAGCAATGGGAAGAAATTTGATCCGCTTGGCAATTTGTTTACTTTTTAAGTGCCTACATTTCCTTTGTATCTTCCATAGCACAGCTCAGTTTTGAGCTTGTTGATTAGGAAATATGTAATGTTTGATTGATTAGTGAAAATAACATGACACTTTAGTGGTATAACAAACTAAAACATTTAGCTTAGAAATAGATCTTTTAACTTTTATAAAATTTTTTATTAGTTGGGAGATAATTTTTTTTAATTTCTTTTCTCCTGTGCTTTCAGACTATTGTTTTCCCAGGCAAGAGTGGCAGATTGTGACCAAAAAGTAAAGATGCCAACTGTATAACTTCTACTTTTAAAAAGCGCCATGTAGGCATAAGATTGAAAAGATAAAAGCAGGCAGAACCATTTTTTTCTTACTTCCTCTTCCTTATCGTAGATTAAAGATACTTCCAAGTTGGAGAGATGACACGAGTTGTAGATGAAACAGGAAAGTAACATATGAGTGAAAGACTGCCAGGCAGTGTGTGTGCACACACAGGCACCCCCGGCCTGTGTCCTGGAGAGGGGCAGGATAGAGCCTTTGCTTTGAAATTTGGAGATGAGCAAGTGGAGTAGAGAGGTGTAGTGCTTTCAGAGAGAAGCCTTCCCACACCATCCTGGTGAGCAGAGGAGAGATGGCAGCAAGACCTGGCTAAACCCAAGAGCCTCGAGAGAGCCCCTGGATGTCAACGTCGCTGGGGTGGCACCAGAGAACATCTCAGAGATGCTGTGGCCTGACGTGGAGATTACAGGTGCGACCTAGCTGATGCTGAGGAGCCAAGTCTTCCATAGGGCGCCCTAGCTGTGCTGAGCTCTAGGAAATGACCCTGATCCGGAAGCTGACACCTCTCTGACAACAGCCATGAGGAGCATTTCTCCCTTTGCAGTTCCCACAACCCCTGTACAGCTTAGATTCACACTTCATGTCTTTGCAAAGAGGAAAAACTACTTCCTAAATTTCTTTACTATATACTTGTGGTAAGATCTGGGAATATAGAGATAAAATATTCAATTTATGCCCTCAAGGAATAGACAAGAGGTCTAAGAGGGGAAATTTTAAGTAAATGAACAATTCTGTGGTTCTTGATATAAGTTGTATGAAAAATATTACTATGGTTTGAGCACGAAGGCAGTCCTTTTCAGTGTGGGAGAAAGGCTTCTCAGAAGAGATGCAACCTGTGACTTAAGGAGCGGGAAGCTTAGCCAGATGGCAGAGGAGAAGAGCCTTCCGGCCAGTGGAAGGGGCAGGTGGAGAAGACAGCAAGGATTAAATCATGGGAGGCCTTGCAGGCCCTGTGGATGATGGATTTTCTTGAGAAGATTGTGGAGAGCCATTAAAATATTTAAAATGGGAAGTGACATCACCCAATTCTCATGAAGTAAAATGACTCGAGTGGATTAAGGGGAAGAGATTTGAGTTAGGGAGAATAACTAGGGGGTTTTAAGCAATTTTTGTCAAAAAAAAAAAAAAGGAATAATCAATAAACTCAATTTGAATGCTCTAAAATTATCTGTGATTTAAGCATAGAACACATGCACAATATGCTTTTGTGAATGCCCTTAAGGTAAAAGGGAAGGACAAACTGATGGTCATTGGTACATTCAGAGCAATGCACCCTCACTGGACAATTCCAGTTCTGAAAGCAGGAGCAGTTCTGCACCAGGAAACACGATGATGGGTTCCGGTTCAGGTCTCTAAGATGGTAATCTTAGATCTTGCGCAAACACCTAACTTCTTGGAATCTCAACATACGTTTGTAAAATAGAACTGAATGTCAGACATCTCGTCCCGTTTTAAGTTACCTGATTTAACATACAGTTCTAAGACATCTTTATTAATAAGTAAATACCACATTTTACAACATTTGTAGTTTCCTGAAGTTATATTTCTACATATACTGGCATAAATGGCCTTAATAAAGACAAACAAAGAAAAAAGAGAAATACCTCCATTTTGCCAGAACCATCATCTACCATATTGTGCTGGGCTGCCATTTGCGGAGAACTATGTAATTTTGAGGCATCGAATGGAATTTGTTTTATTCGAGCCACTTTCTCTGTGACATATACTTTCCCGAAGCCATCGCTCTGATCTTTATCTCTCCAGTCCTTAAAGAACTGTTTAAAGATTGGTGTTTCGCCTCCTTCTGGAAGAACTTGAATCTAAAATTTTAAAAAAACAATAATAATAAACAGGAAAATAAGAGACTGAGGAAAAACATTAATCTAGTAGTGAAGGAAAAAACTGAAATAATAAAAAGACTGTCCTGGTTTCTGTGATGACAGATATAAACTTAGAAGTTGAGATCCTTAAGTGACTGCAAAAGTAAAGGTTATCAAATATAAAGCTAAAATAATCCAACTCTACTCTTTTTCACAACTAAAGTAAGTGCCACTGAATTTGGATGTTTGACGTAAGAATGGAATTCTGTTATATGTTACGATTGTAGTTAAATAAGTTTGACTGTTTTTCTACGTTAGGTTCACAAGAGGACTGTGACCCAGAAGAAATAATCTCATGGGGTTACTTGTGCTAAAACATAAAAATGAAAACAAAAGATGAGGCTGAGAGATTCAGAAAGGATGAGTAACCAGCCAGGGTCTAAACTGATCTCCATGAAGCCAAATATTATCTGGGTATTAGTCCACATCTGCACAACTTGCTCTAGGGAATAAATGATAAGTGCTCTCAGTAATCCAACTGTGGTTGATTTTCTTGACTTGAAGGTTGTGGAGGAAGTGGACAGACTCTTATCCTCATCATACAGCCCCACAAAAGGTCTTTCCTCCAGTTTCTGCAAAATGCCATCCTCTAGGGACATGTTACACAATACACACACTCAAGTAAAGAGTGACTTCACATGCATACATTACTTTGAACCAAATTTTCATGAGTTTTGTGGAGATGTCATAAACTCCCACAGTTTTAATTATTATTTTTTTATAGCCAGTTCATTTCCACACATACTTGGGTATTGGTAGAATAATTCATTTGCTCTAGGAATTGTTCAGCTGTCTTCATTGCAGCCTTTCTCTCCTGGGGATTAGCATCTTTACCTACAATCCAAAATAAATTAAAGAAAGATAAAATTTTAGTGAGGGAAGATATGATTAAGAAATGCTTGTTTACAAAAGTAAACATAATTATAATTTAAATATAACTGAGAAAATGGCAAACATTTCTTAGTATATTAAATATATTTAATAATATAGTAATGAACACTACATATAAAAAATATTCCTTTTATACTGTCCAAATGCTTTCTTACCTCATCATTCCTAACAGATGATGCTAGTAGGAAAAAGTAGTTCTGATGTCTGCATGTTTTTATATTTATAGATCAAGTCTCAAAAAAGTTAGGCTTTTTAAAAAAAATCAGAAAAAGATGTTTTCTTTACTCTGTGAAGAAATATCTATAAATCTGAAATACAGCAACACTGTCAATGGCATCTTTTACCTTTCCATACAAAAATTTGTTTTGCAGCACCATGGTCCAAAATAAAGCATTCATCAGAAAGCAGCATTGCCATGGAGAAGGGGTTTTCCTCTGCCACCACAGTCACTCTCATGGATCCGCTGGCATCTGAAACCTAATAAAAAAATATGAACTTCTTTGGAGATGATAAAAATGTTCTAAAATTAGATTATGGTGATGGTTACGAACTCTGTAAATATAACAAAAACCACATAATTGTACATTTTAAATGGTGAACTTTCTGCTATGTAAATTATATTCCAACAGCACTGTTTCAAAGAAAACAAGCAAAATCCATGAGCCTAATTATCCCTAAAAGGCTTTTTTAAAGGCTTTTTTTGGGGACAAAATAACCATTAATAAAAAGTTAAGTTTTGATGCTGTGCTTAAACATCAGAAAATAATAGTGATGATAATGGCTAAGGTTTGTTGTGATTCATATATATAATAGATATCATGTTATGAATTTTACATGTTATTTCTTAATTTTTACAGCAATGTTTTCAAATAGATAATAACCTTACAGTCACTGTACACACACAAAAAGCTGAAGCTAAAACATTCATTCAATCAACATTTACTGAGTTCTGGTCATATGCCAAGCACTGTGCTGAGGAAGCCATTACTACATTATAGTTCATGATTATAGATTTTTTTTCAATACAGGTTTTATAATTTAAGTATAATTTGTATAAATTATTGAAGTAAATTTCCTGTGTCACAAATGAATTGTTATTTACATAGACTCCTGAACTTTGGAAATCACTATAAAACATTTTCTTAAAATGTTTGGAGGCAGACTTACAAAATTGAAAGAGATATTAATGCCCAGATTAGAATCGACTGGTTTTCAAAGGCTAGTTTACAGCCACAACATGGGCACTTGTTAAATGCGCAGGTCCCAGGGCCCTCCCTAGATCAGTGGTGGAGTTTTGCAGCACCATGGCAGGGCTTAAATTCTGTATTTTTAGAAATTGCCCTTTGGTGACTTGGCTTCCCAGCTTTGTTCAGCAATCCCAAATTAAAGTATTTCCAAACACTTTATACTTCAGATGTAAGTAATACATGATAGATCCACTAGAGGGATTGATGTTTCAGGAATAACATGTTCACATTGTAAAATATTTCTGTAGTCCGTCAAGCTGTCCAAGAGAGAGAATAGCTTTATTTGATGATATGACATAAAAGATGTTTACAAGCTGTTTGAAATGAGTTTTAGAAACAGTAATGAAAAAAGTAAGCAGCTACAAAGTCTTTAGATAACAATTTCTGTATGGCTTATATTAAAATGATCGGTGTATTTAGTGGGAGAGGTAACTACATTGTCTTATGCCATCTAAGAAAGAATCTACTTCTCCTTTACAAAAAGGAAGTTATGCTACACAAATTAGCAACTGGATCTCCATTTAATACCAGAGGTTCTGAGCTAAAAGGCTACTTAAATAACAGCAAATAAAGTCCTTCCTGTAACACATGAGAAAAGTACTCAATTCTGTAGGGAGATTACAGTCTGCTCCAAATTGCATGCTTAGAGACTTACAAGGGAGGGAACACTTGAAGAATCTCATCTGAACAGTGTTCTCAACTGGTCTATGCTGTGACTTTTGCTATTCTCACCAGCAATAAAATCATAAAATTATAAAGTTGGAAAGAACCCGAGTAATCTTTTAATGTGACCTACCTACTTCTCTCTCCCTCTCCCTCTCTTTCTTTCTTTCCCTCTTTTTTCCTACTGCCCCCCTCCAGATAAAAAAACATGCACACCCAAAATGAGCATGTCTTCCCCAAGATCACTCAGCCAGTCATCCACCACAAAGCTGTCACGGACGGACGCAGGTCCGCCAATGCCCAGGATGGGGCTGTTTTTACCCTATTTCCTTCCAGCTGTTTGATTTGATATCTTTGCCCTCCTGTAACAAAGAAAGCCTTCATTATGGCTAAACAGGATATTTAAAATAAGGGGGCGGGGGGAGGAAAAGGTAAGTAGGGGTAAAGGGGGTCTAATATTTAGTGATGGAAGATTTAACTATGGGTGGCAAACACACAATGCAATATACATATGTTGTTTTATTGAACTGTACACATGAAACTGATTTGATTTTATTAACCAAGGTCACCTTAATAATTTTAATAAAATAATAATAAAATGAGGTGAAGATTTTATACCTTATCAAAATTTTATAAGAAAAAATATACAAGATATTTTTTAATCCATGAAGGAAACCTTTTATTGAATGTAATATATCAAAACATATTGTTGCAAACTAGTATGGCAACAATATATAATTTTATTTTTCACAACAATAAATTCGCTTGTTTTTAATAAAAATAACAAAAAGTAATAAAAAGAGGAATTTTAATAAATATACCAGAGCAAAGGATGGATTCTACCTACAAATTACTCTTAGAGGGCAACGAAGAAAACATCATCAACTGAGAATTCCGCCCCTCACCCCTCACCAGTACAGGCCTCCCTGGGCTGCATCCAGTCCAGTAAAAACAACGCAACTCTCTAACATGCAAACTCACCATGTAGAGTTTGGCCATTTTCCTGTTAGTTATGTCTGCTGTAGTGTCCTCATCATCATCTCCATCCCTAAGCTCTGGCTTTTTCCCTAAAACCTGAAAAAAAAGTGAACAGATAAAAGATAAAGACCTCTTGTTAAAGAATGCAGAATTGCAAAAAGAAAAACATCTTACATTTCTAAGGACATAGATCACAAAACATTTACAATTAAAATGAACAGTCTCTAACATTTCTCAGCAATCATACAAACTACATAGTCTTTTCCCAAGGGTCAAATCAATCCATGGCATTAAGTATAAAAACATGAGTTTGCTGGTGATAGGAACTTCCAAGAAAGTAAAATCCCAAACTTGAAAACTTAGGTGTCCATATTATTGAAAACTAGCAGGAATTAATACGATTTATAAGTTTGGTTTTGCAACAGAATTTCTTCTGTGACCTCCGCTTCTAGAAGAAACAATCTATAGGTTTAAATGATTTATTATTACAAAGATTTGGATGAAAATTACTATTTGAGGGGTAAGGTACTATTATCATTATTGACATAGGATAGATAAAGTGCAATTTCTTGATGACCATATCATGTTCTGTTTCCTACTGCATCCTCAGTACATAGAACAGTATCTGGGATGTAGTAGATGCTCAAAATAGTTGTTAATGAACAAATAAATGTATTTATTCTTGCATATATGACTCAATCCAAAAGTTCAAGTTAATCATTGAGTAGAAGTTCAAGTTAATCATAGAATTTGTTAAGAACAGGAACAAAATATAAATTTATTCCAAACATTGTGATTTTTATAACATAGATATAAATTCAAGTTTAAAACATGAAAAAGTGTTTAGATTCAACAAATGTTTAATATACAATAAAATTCCTTGCATAATGTGTTTTATACTCAATATTTCTCACAATATGTCATATGAATATCAGACAATAATAAAATGTATATAAATTCTAATCCTCGCATGACTGTAGGCACAGCCTCCAGTTTAGAAATACATTAAAAAATTTATTTCCCCTAGGACCATGCCTATCATTTTGTTTTTACAATGATCAACAAAATGCTTTCATTATTATACATGCTAAATGATTATAATTTAGCTTTCTTTTTTGCTAAATGTAGGACCAAGACAAAAATGAAAACACTTGCAACCAAAAGCTTGCTCGCTCTTTCTTTCTTTTTCTTCCTTCCCTCCTTCCCTCCCTCCCTCCTTCCCTCTGTCCTTCCTCTGTCTGTCTGTCTGTCTGTCTCTCTCTCTCTGTAACCCAAAATCACATTCAAAAACCATAGCTCCTTCCTTCCTTCCTTCCTTCCTTCCTTCCTTCCTTCCTTCCTTCCTTCCTTCCTTCCTTCCTTTTCTTTCTCTTTCTTTCTTAACAGTTTTATTTTGGTTGAAATATGTATATCTTGCAAGAACAGTGAAAGGGCTCCTTATATACCCTTTTGTAATTCTACTCCAACCAAGACAGAAGAGTTTTGACTCAGTTTGTGCTACGGACATATCTAATACTACTAGGAAGTGTCCCAGAGGTCTAAGTGGGTCTGAAGTTTGGGGCACACTCTAATTTTTAATTTTCAAGCAACAATTCCCCATATTAGCCAAGGATCTTAATTAGCCTCTCAAAGGACTGTAGCATAGTTGGAAATTGCACCCAGGGGATTTGCTAGAAGTAGAGGTAAGGGGGTGCTGTATATTGCTGTATATTGTCAGGTATGTCTAAGGATCCAGTTCAGCAACTAAGCATTTACCAAATACCTCACTGAGGTATACAAATGAGTTTTCAACCACTTCAATTGCAAAACGTGCTCAACTACGCCATACATTTTGATCTTTGAAATAAACTGTAATTACAGCTTCTCTTTTATCTCTATGGGTGGGATAACACCTAAATTTAAAACATTCATTTTAGGTTTCTCAAGTAGAATTTAGGTCATGTACTCCCCTGTGTGTGAAATATATATACATATATATATAGATATTTCAAATAGATAATACACACACACACACACACACACACACATATATATATATATACAGTTAATTTATAGAGGAAGGGAAATAAAAAAGCCTGATCTAAGGATGTTCCATAAAAAATTCCATCTGTAGTTCTAGCCAAGACCTGTCATTCAAGTTTGGGGCCTCCCTTTCAGTTAATGATTTTCTGCAAGTTTCCACTTAAAAGTATCACCATCCTCTAACGTACTCCAAACTGAACTTATCTTTACACAAAACTGACCATTCTCAATTCACCGTTTGTGTCAGTGAATCAACAGTTTCCTGACCTTAAGTTCACCTGACCTTAAAATCACGCAGTCAGTTTTGAATATTTCTTGTTCTTCACTTTGAATCTCCTACCCACTTGGTCATTAAATTCTACTTCTTTATGATAATGTTTAGAGTCGCCGATTCCTGTCTGTTCTTTATGCTCAACGCCAGTGAGCTCCCTCATCACCCACGGGTTATACCTGCTCTAGTCAGCTCCCTCCTGCCTTCAGTCTCACCTCATCTTTTCATCCAGAAAGTGATTCTGTACACTGGCTAGAAAGCCTCTTATTTCGCTTTACTCCTATATTCTAAGAAAATGACTCTAGATAAAGATTTATATCTTATATCTGTAGCAATTGTTCTTAAAATTCAATGTGTTCAAGCAACATCTGGGTGACCTGATACAATACAGATGGAATCTATATTGTCAATAAATTTAATGCAGGCCCAGGAATATGTATTCCAGATGATTCTGAATTGGATGCTTACCGACAGAGCCAAAACTCCTCTGTCTGGGTTCTGAAGTGCCTCTAGAGGCTGGCTGTCACCTACCCTGCATGATTTCTCAGCATTTTCTCTACAAAGCACCCTTCTGGAATCAGGCTGACATTTTTAGTACCTCCTGTGGGATGCTGTATATAACTTCTCTTTAGGTTGACTGGGAGTAGCAGAAGAAAAACTGAGCAACTATTCTTTGGTTGGTTCAGCAATCAGCACAGTGATAGTTACCACTTATTGAATATCTACTATGGGTTACGCATTGAATGAGGAGATTTAGACACACCATTTAATCCTTATAAAAGCCCCCATGAACTAGATACTGTTACCATCATTTAACTGAAAAGGTCGCTAATGCTCAAAAAGGTGAACTGATTATTTCAAAGAGCTGCTAAGTGTTGATTCTGGCACAGGTCTCTTTAATGCTCCTTTAATAACTTTTAAAATAATTGTTTGCATATATACAACAGAATATTACTCAGCCATAAAAAAAAGAATGAAATCTTACCATTTGCAACAACTAGAGGGTATTATGCTAAGTAAAATAAGTCAGAGAAAGTAAATACCATAGGATTTCACTTATATGTACACTCTAAAGAGTAAACTAAATGAATAAACAACAGAAACAGACTCATAGATACAGAGAACAGTTTAATAGTTGCCAGATGGGAGGAAAGTTGGGGGAATGGGTGTAAAGGATGAAGGAGTTAAGAAGTGCAAATTGGTTATGAAACAGTTATGAGGATGTACAGTTCAGCATAGGGAATAGAGTCAATAATATTGTAATAACTGCATATGGTGCCAGATGGGTACCGGACTTATCAGGGGTATCATTTCGTCATATGTCTAATTACTATACTGTACACCTAAAACCAATATCATATTGAATGTCAACTGTAATTGAAAAAGGAAAAAAAAACCTTGCTATATCCTCATAATCCTTAACTTTTACTTTTGCATCTGTCTTTATTTTGAACATTTAAGCCAGCTCTACTTATTTTGATATGAAATTTTAACATTTACAATCTTGCACGTTCAAGATGTGTTTTCCCTCCTTTTAACATTCTACAAAAATCGAGGTTAGGAAACTTCACAGTAAGTATTTGAAGTGTACGAAAGGAAAAGCGGCTAATCCGTGGCTTGGAGGAAAACAGTACCTAACTCAAAAAACTCCAGGTCACTTTGGATAAGTATGTTCTAAATTGGCGTCAACTCCTAAAAGCATTTAACATGGAAGTTCTTAATGAGCTTATCGACTCTCATTTCAGCTTGATAGACTAGGAAAATGAGTCTGAGAGAAGTTATTGGGACTTCTGCCCACATCCCATAAATACTAAAGCCATGATGTAAAGGCCTTCCAACTCCTACAGCAATACTCTCTATAGAAATTCTTCTTACCTTAATAAAGAAATTTGCATTCTTCTTACCTTAATCAGTTTAGTGTGACTGGCTCTGTTTCTATTTTCACTAAAAACAAAGTAAGCTGTCAGGTTCTAAGAGCTAACATTTTAATTACTCAGTAATTCTTGTGTCTTACACTTCCTTTCCCTGACTGGAAAAAAAAAAAAAAGTCAGTAGACTGTAAGCATATGGTGAATAGAAATAAAATGAAAAAGTGAAGAATTGCCTTGTTGTTATGGTGTATTTATTTGTCTCGAGGCGTTTTATACCTTAGGTAAGAAAAATATTTACTAATAGGGAAGATACACAGAGAAATAAAAGCATAGGCAATTCTGAGGAAAGCCATGACCTTGTTTAGCCAGCTCCACCTAATTTGGATTTGAGATTTCAATATTTGCTCTCCTGCTCTCTCTCAGTGGTGTGCTTCCCTGCCTCTAAAACACCTTTATCCCTTTATTGCTATATCAAGTAAAGGGTAATTTAATATATCAAATAGTGGATAAAAGTAGATTAGACTGAGGGAAAGCACGTAAAATACATGTTTGGATAAAAGGGTAAAGTGAATTAGGTGTCTGCAAGAGAGGTTTGGCTATTGAATTATCTGAGCCAGGGGTTTCCAATAGAATTTTCAGTAATTGAGGTAATTCCATATTTCTGCTGTCTAATATGGCAGTCACTAGCTACCTGTAACTATTTGAGCAACTGAAATGTGGCTAGTGTAACCAGAAAACTGAATTTGAAATTTTATTTAAATTTAATTAATTTAAATCAGAACTTAGTAGCCATGTGAGTCTCGTGGATGCTGTAGTTGACAGTATAGCTCTAGAGGACTCAGGGAATATAGTGGCCTTGGGAAACTCACCTTGATGCAGGTCTGATCCTCAGTGTTCCCATAGTAGCAACACATTAGAGATTTAGAGGGTCC